ACTTATGGGTATAAATCATATTTTTCTAAAAAAGTGAAATATATTTCCCAAATACTATGGCCAAACACATGGTAAAATTTCACCCAAATAATATTGCCAAGAATATTTAGAAATCTATGGCCAAACGCTAGTTAATAAAAAAAAAAAAATTCATTTTCAATTCCCCGTAAAGATCATCACTGAATATTAATGATTTTTCTTAATTTGGCCATTGATTCTGAAGATATAAATAATATGTCACGATCCAGCCTACATCCTGGACGTGGCCAGCACTCGAAGATCATTGTTGGTCCCCAAGCGAACCCTCATCCTGACTTATTACAAGCGGAAGACTAACTCAAGCATGCAAAAGCTTAAAAATTGAATAAAATTCATGAAACTGAAATACAAAACTTTAACTCAAATGAAAAACTCTAAATATAAAAATAATATTCAACTCGCTATAAAATAGGCAACTTAAGTCTTTAAAACATTTAATAAAATGAATAATATAGACTTCTCAACTATACTGACTATCTATGAAGCCTCTAACTGATAAAGATGGAAGTCGGGACAAGACTCACGACATCCTGACTAAACTGAAAAGTAAATGAAATCCTCCGGAAACAAGGAGGCTCACCATAGCTAACTCAAACTCCCGAATATATCAACGAATCTCCTGGTGATGATCTTGAATACGTGTGTCTATATCATGAGAAGATGCAAGCCAAATGGCTCAGTACGTGGAATGTATGAGCATGTAAGAGGAATTCTAAAGCATAAACATAAGCTTGAAACTTGATAAAAAGGAAACATATTTACCTCTTCTCAAACTTACTCAACTCAAGGAATACTCAAGGATATTCAAAACTACTCAAACTTATTCAACTCAGAAGTACTTAAAGATAAGATACTCGACTTCAAAGATATGATACTTGACTCAAAGATATGATACTCGACTTGAAATACGCAACTCTGGATACTCAACTCATTAATACTTAACTGAACTAATTTCATTATAAAGTAGTTTAAAACAAGTGCAATATAAATAAAAGGAAAATTGTTTAAAACATGATGTTATAAACTCATTATCATAATATCATAAAAGACATACCATGCTCCCTCAAAAAGTATACTTGTGCAATGCATGAATGAAGTCTCATACCCCATTCATACTAAGCAGAACCCCTTGAGGAACTATGCAAATATTGTTGTGGGAGTTTCTCTAACTGACAACCACCACTATGAGCCTAAGTGGTGATACATTGTCTTGCCCACGCTGCCAGAACTGTCTTATACTTTGCAGTCATATGGAACGCTTAACTTAGTGGATCCACTAGCTTAACTTATGTGATCATCTAAAAAGTATAACCCATTAATACCCATGATGGCTACATGGTTTATGGAGACTTGAGTTAATATGAACTCGCATTCCCATATCGGTGCTCAATACTACTCCCAAAAATATACTTAGCTCATATGTTTTTAAAACAACTTCTTTCTTTGGTTTGAGATAACTACTCAAAACTTAGCTTAAAAGCTCTCTTGGAATCGATGTTCCTTTTCTTGCTCAAAACTCTTTCGGAAATCTTAGTTTCCGCTCATCTTAAATGTGAAAACATTTACTCTTGGAAATACTTAGTTCCCATATATCATTTTAAAGAAAATGAACTTTACTCTCACTCTTTACTCAACTTCAAAGCTTAAGTCGTAAAACAAAGTTTAAACATTTGTAAAAGACTTCTTAAAATATGGTTCATGCCGAATTATGGACGTGAACGACTCAATGCAATATTTTCAATAACCAAAGATAGAACTCAAGAACTTCAATGATACTACTCATTTCAAGAATGCTCAACTTAGAGGGTTCATGCGGAATTATGAGCATGAACTACTCAACTCAAGGACTCAAAGATACTTCTCATCTCAAGATTGTTCGACTTATAGAGTTTATGCGGAATTATAGGCATGAACAATTCAACTCAAGGACTTCATGGGTAACATGTAATAGATTCATGATTAGAACTATAATCTCAGAGGGGAAAAGAAACTCAAAACTCAAGACTTAGAACTTGAAGATACTACTCCTCTCAAAAGTACTCAACTGATGAAGTTCATGCGGAAGTTTTGGGCATAAACGACCCAACTCAAGGGTCAAATTATCAATAAGAAACTCATGTATACGACTCTTCTCATTATCTTACCTACTTCCTCAAAACTTAGTTCAAATCAATAGTTGATCTCAAAGGGTTCACAATCGAACTCAAAGGCTTTCTTGAACTCTACTCTTAACTCTCTCTTGAATATGAATTATGAATCCAAGAGTTATGGTTCATGATATGAAAGATATAGATGATAGTGTAGACTCATGAATGCATTCTCCTCACTCTCATGCTCACTTACTCAAGTCTTGAAACAAGTTACTAGAAGTTGTAGAAGACTCCACAAAATGACTCAAATGGACTTTCTTAGAATGTTCGAAAGAACTCTCAGAACTTAACTCTTAGCTCTACCTTGAATTTGAATTATGAATTCAAGGTTATGATCATGTTATGAATGATTTCTAGGTGTTTATAAGTAGCTTAGAGTAGTTAGAATTGAAAAAGAGTGAAGGCGCACTTTAAACAAACTCAAACGAGGCAACCGACGACAAACTGGATGGGGCAGGCGACCCTGGCGCTATGGGTGGCGCGGGGAGCCAGCCCCTAAACTTCAGAGGAGGGTTTGGGGCGCTCTGGCTGGCGCATCGCGCCAGGCCCTAACCCAGAAAATTTGACGAACTTTTCTTGCTCGTTTTCTCACCCTAACTCGCCTAAAATCAAACGGTTTCTTCCCCAATCACTTGGATTCGATTACTTAACATAGGTAGACTCTAATATACTTAAAACAATACTCAAATTACTAAATTTCATCTCAAGAAATCATCAAAACCCCAACACAATAAGATTTAGAATGAACTTCAAGAACACCTATCAATGACTCATCAAAAACTCTAATCTTTCAACTTCAAGAATGAAATTTAGCTGAAAATAACATGATTGGCGTGCGGGTGAACTAACCCAACACATTCTTAGGGATCAAACCCATGGCTACAATCCGCAACAACTCTCAAGAATCTCGACGAACGCTTGATCCTCTCTTCTTTTCTATTCTTGAACTCTCAACTAAAACCCTAGGCGTAAACTAGGATTATAAAACTGAACCTAATCAGATTAGACCCCTAAAATATTACTAAAAATTAATTAAATCTAATTGGGTAAGGAAAAGACCAAAATACCCCTTACTATTTTCGGCAAACTTTCCTTAACTAGACAACCTAACTTCAAAAGGTCATATCTCACTCATCCGACCTCGAAACTTAGCAAACTCAGCGGCGTTGAAAAGATAATTCAAATTTCTTTCCTACGGTATCTGGTATCACACCTAAATCATCTTGAGCTAGGATTTATGGCCGTTTGAAGTCAACCCAAAACTCATACTTAGCTTAACTTGCAAAATTTCAGATTTTGCTATTTCCAATTTAATTCTTTTTGGAACTCCAGGTGCTACATCTAGTGACCTTAAAACTTAAGAAATTTTTAATTCCTTGGTAAAATCTCACTCACTACGAAGAACGGTTCGAGTCTTAATTCGAAATTTTTTCTGGGGTGTTACATAATAGTTGATGAATCAACACACAATAATTCTACTAGTGCACCACTCTAATGAAGGAAAAAAGTGGAAAGGATAAAAAATATTACAAATTATGCGGTTTGAATAATTTGATCATAATTAATAGTCATCAAATCTCATAGCTACGTTATTATTATAATTTATAAACACGGAATATGGTTTATATTTCAACTATATCCATAATAGTAACATTCATTCAATATTTATATATAATTAGAGTTACATTTTTTTAGCTTCTATTTAAATTTAAGTAAAATTCGTATAGACCCATGTCCCGCCCTGCATAATCTTCAACTTTCACCCGCCACACATAACTTAAAATTCGCGTGCCCCGTCTTGCATTCACATCGTTCCATTGTCATCTCTAATTGGAGAGAGTGAAAGTACACAAATAATAAGCTAGATTTATTATTCAACTATTTTGAATTTGAAATACGTGGAATAAAGGATACATGATACATACATGTTAGCTTTGATCTGAGGCAATTTATTGCTATTATCACTTGTGAAATTCGATACAAAGACTTTTATGGTATGAAAAAAAGTCTTTGCAAAGACTTTCAAGAAGTTGAATTAATGACATATTTTTGTGGTTAGAAGCATGGAGAATAAACAAACATGGTGTTATATGCAAATACAAATTATTTATGTTGTTTTGAGAAAACTAACAAAGATATATGAACTTAATTGTAAAAAACACGTCCAATCCATAAAATCTACATAACTAAATTTGCAGGTTTGATTTCCCACCCCAAACATTTTATGAATCTCATTTTTTCATAAATTTAACTTTCACCCCAAATGTTTGAAGTTGAATTCCAAAGTTATGAAACTTGAATTTAAACCCCAAATGCTTGAAATTAAACTTTACCAACTACCAAAATTAAAACTTGTGAAAGTAACGTTTGACATTTTCAATCCAAAATTTAACTTTATATCAAGATGAATAAAGTTTTAATTTTATCCTTATACTTCTACTCCACCTTTGCTAATTTCTAAGCATAAAAACAAAAAAAAGTTACTATATCATTTTATAAAAAACATAAAAAGATCCAATTCATTAAATCTTTTTTAGAATATCATCTATAGTAAAAAAAAAAACACATCTCATAACTAGAACTAGAATTACCAATAGCTAGAAACTTCCCATCACATCTTATGCATTGGTTCAAATGTAATCCATCTACATAGAAAAATATAGAAAGTGGAAGCAATGTATGAAGTTTTAATTTCTCTATTGGGCTAAAATTTAAATACTCAGATAAAAGTTGAGTAGATTTTAAATGACATCCTAAAACTGGCTATCTAGTGCAAATCGTAAATGTGAAAGTCCCGAAAACGGAGGCCCATTTCACTTTCAGCCCAAACCCCAACTTTTCTTGTGCAAAGGGAAAAGTGCACAAACAAAACTCCGATCAGTGTTGTAACTCTGCTATTTTTTCTCCGATCGAAGATCAACTATTCCGATTTCCGACGATGAATGTAAGTTTTTTGTGTTATCCCGCGTTTAATCGAAGAAATTCGTTGAATTGTTTGTAATTTTTGTGTGTAAATGATGATGTTTGCAGGTGATGGATTCAGCTCCGGCTAAAAGTAGCTTAATGAGTCCCGAATCTGATATTCAGAGAACACAGTATGTACTCTCTTTCACTCTTTGCGTTTTATGAGATTTTACAGATCTGATTGGCAGTGTGTTTGATGTTTTACGGAATAGGGTTTTTGTTCTTATTTTACAAAGAATTAGAAGGACATAGTTTTAGTAGCTCAATTGGTCGGTTGGTTTGCTACCTGAACTTTCACCTAGTTGGTAAGGTTGGATTTACCACATTGTAATCTCCTCCCCAATTTCCCCAAAGAGAAAAAAAGGTATTTTTTGGGTGTTTTTCTTAGTTCTTCTGAGTGTAGGAAACCTCTCTGCCTCCCAAGGCAGTGGTAAGGTCTACGTACACACTACCCTTCCCAGTCTCAAATGGGATTACATTGGGTATGTTGTTGTTGAGTGCTTTTCTTGGTGCTATTAGCTAGGCTTAAGTTATTTCTTTGTTGTATGTATGTTTAAGAGTTTTTTTACTGCAAGAGTTACCAGCAAAAGTACTGCTTCTCAGGCGTTTCATTTGTGTGGTAGGGATGCCTTTAGGCACATTTGGTTGTTATAAACATTTACAGAGGTGGGGGTAGAGTAGAAGGTACGAGTTTTGCATAATCCAATAGCTTTTGTCCAAAGTTTCCAGACCTTGGATTTGTCTTTAAAAAACCTGTTTAATATGTAGACATTATTAATTTAGGATGCAGTAACACAAAAGGGTTACTATCCAGATTCCATAAGCATCTAATCTTAGATGTACCTATGTATATGAAGGTGCTGGTGAAGAGCATTGAATATGGAGGAAAATGTTCTAGGTAGAAATATGTTTTCACTAGAAATAAGTTTCTTTTAGTGAAAAAATATGTTTTGGATCGTTTGCCGGTGTTTGGTTAGGTGTGTAAGTATGTGACATATGGTAGTAATACAAGATGGAAGAATATGTGTATACAGATGTTTTCTAGTGATACTCTTTAAGTATTTAAGATTGACAACAATGTTTAAGTATTAGTTGAGCCAAATGATGATAGTAAGAGTTTAGATACTTATAAAGGAAAATGACTTATGCTCATAAGTAACATCTATTTCCCTTTTAGCTGAAAATAGTTTATTTCAGAAAAACAACATCAACATTTTTCTGGAACATTTCTGCCATGCCAAACGATTGATTTATGATCTTTACCGGAGTTCTCAGTCTTTGTGGCTTATGGTATTATGAACCTGTAATTTTGTTTTCTGAGTAGAAGGAATGAGGTGCGGGGTTAAGTTGAGATCACATCTTGTGTGGCTCTTGATGGATTTTGCTTCCTAGGATACATCCGGGCCACAAAGGAATTTGCAAATACATCCGGGCTTGAAATAAATTTGCTAATATATCTGGTCCAGAAGGAATTTGCAAACTGTATTTATCTGTTTCTGGCTTTCTGCTGCTTATGTTCTTACCGGTGGGATTTCACTGGGATGTTGTAGCTGTTTATGCTTTTAAGTTATTGAACTTAATCTTCATATACGCCAAAAAGTGAAAACAAAAGCATTACAGAAGATGAGCTAGGTATTAAAATCCTTTAGTGAGGAGGACGAGGGTCTATCGGAAGCAACCTCTCTACCCCACAAAGGTAGGGGCAACGTCTTCGTACATCCTAACCTCTCCAGACCCCACTTACGGGACTACACTAGGGATGTTGTTGTTATTATTGTTGTAGTGAGAAGTAGAGTCGTATAACGGATTAAAATTATTGAATGAGAGAGGATCTACCTGTTGGAAGGGATGTGCAGCTCTTTGTATATACCATATCCTTTGCATGCATGGGAGATGTAGTTAGGTGTAAGAGTACCAGTTATGTCATGCAGCAAATTTTAACCTTATGGATATATGCTCACTCGTGCATTGAGATTGTATTTATGTAACTTTCCTTTATAACTCTTTACTTACTGTGCTCTAGATGTTTGCAATTTTAACTTGTACTGTTCTCAATAGGTATCCATATGTGACTGGGACATCAGTTGTCGGCATCAAGTACAAAGATGGTATTCTCTTGGCAGCTGACATGGGAGGTTAGCTTTTATATCATAGATTTGGTCCCAATTAGTGCTCCTCTTTTTTCAAAAAAGTATATTACATGGTTTCATCACTAGGGAAAAGGGATAGAGAATTGAAAGATCTCCTAACAACATTCTCTTTTCACATTTTTATATTATCTGATGTTAAATACACCCTCCGATACATAATGTAGTATGTGTTGTCATCTTCTGTTTTTTCCGTTTACAGGTTCCTATGGTTCAACGATACGTTACAAGAGTGTGGAGCGATTAAAGCCAGTGGGAAAGCACTCCCTTCTTGGTGCAAGTGGTGAAATAAGTGATTTTCAGGAGATAATGAAGTACCTTGATGAGCTTATGTACGTCTGTCCTTCTGAGGACTCCTCCCTGTTATTCTTGTTTATTGTTATTGTTTATATAAGTTTTGACGGGCAACAGTTTCGCCTATCTGCGTCTGTTGGAAATTACTTAGTGACTTCTGGTATTCAATGTTTCATAAATGCAGCCTGTATGACAACATGTGGGATGATGGAAACTCCTTGGGTCCCAAAGAAGTGCATAACTACCTAACACGTGTGATGTATAATCGTCGCAACAAGTTCAACCCACTTTGGAATTCACTTGTTCTTGGTGGAGTGAAAAATGGACAGAAGTATCTTGGAACAGTAAAACACAATACATTGTCTTGCTTAATATTATACACTTTGTCTCAATTGCATCCCTACTGATAATGCTTGTGTTTTTTTCTTTTATTCCTTAGGTTAGTATGATTGGTGTGCATTACGAGGACAACCATGTGGCTACTGGATTCGGGAATCACCTTGCAAGGCCCATTCTCCGTGACGAATGGCATGAAAACTTGAGTTATGAAGAGGGCGTTAAGTTATTGGAGAAATGTATGCGTGTGCTTTTGTATCGAGACAGATCTGCAGTCAACAAGCTTCAGGTACAGTCCTTCTGGGGTTTGGGTAGAAAGTCGGTGCTTAAGAACAAGTCAGAATGATACCTCTAACTTGCCAAGATGTGTTCCCTGAACTTCTTTCGTCAAACCTGTAGTATGAGTTTCCTGGTACTTATAGTTTTAATTGTGGGTCTAAAGCTCTGAATTTTGCATCTGTTGTCATCCCCACAAGTACCAAGACTATAGTCTGATTCTGTATTTTCATAATCTATCACTGTTTTCCTTTTCTAGAATAAAAAATAAAAATCTACCACTATTTATTTCTGGCACCAATCATCCTTTTTAATTTTTTGAGGTACTTCTCTACTAGATATGAACAATAAGACAGGTTTAGTGTGCTCTAGTGGAAGCAGAAGAGCTCATACTTTGATTTTCAAAGCTCATAGCATTTGCTTCCTAGATTTGCTCCATGTAGATATCTATTGTGGTTGACTGAAGGTTGATTTCTTGTTTTTGCACTTAAGCTTGAAATAGGGAAAAAATAACGGTAAGGTTGTTGGCTGGGAAAGTTTAAACAGAAACTTGCTGCAAACTTTGCATTTGGAGGTGAACAGGATGATTGGATGTATAGATTGCCTTTCTGATACAGAATTCATCATCAAGTTCATTTTAGATAATAGAATTGTGAGATTTGTCTGCTCTGTCTTTGTGATTTTATTCTGATGTTTCTCGGACTTGCAGATTGCAAAAATCACAGAAGAGGGAGTAACAATTTCTCAGCCATACTCATTGAAGACTTTCTGGAACTTCTCTGCTTTCCAGAATCCAACTGTTGGTGCTGAGGGTTCATGGTAATAACTGGCTGCTGCATCGACTAAGTTTCATGAAGGAACTACACAATGTGTTGCAGATTTTAGAACTCGCTATGTCTTCATGGAAACGATGTTTGATAGAACCCGTGTAATTTGAATTGTCTATGGTCTTTCTAGGCTTTTTCCTAATGTAAACTATAAAGACATGTCACCTGATGTTTCACTTTTCCTTCACTATGTGAGATTGTTATCTTCCAAAGTTATTTGGCATGCCATGGCTTTATCTCAGCTATGGAACACTGTCGTTTTGCCGGGTTGATATATTTTCTAAGTTCATGACAGAAGTACACACCCTGGGTTTACCTACTTTTAAGTTGTGTTGCTTGGACTCTCAAAATTTGTCACACTCCGTGTCCGATCCTCTGAAAATGCCCTAATTTTGGAGGACCAACACATAGTTGGAGACATCTTTTTGAAGAGTTTGTGAGCTATGTTATTGACACTTAATTTAGATATATTTTTGAAGAGTCTGAGTAACATAAAGCTTCTAAGAGATGCTTAATATTACAATTGTAATTATTGAGCATCATTTGCGATTTCATTGTTGTGATTTTAAGCTTCTAGACAAGCTATATATATGGGCACCTAAGACCATGATTGTGCAAATTCTCTTCAAAAGGTTGTTTTATGTCAAAAGGATACTAGTAGAAGATTTTTTTGCGCTAGTGTATTGTTTATTATATAAATCTTTCCTATGTATACTAAAACTGTTAAATACAATGGTAAGATGAAACTTCGAGCTTGGAATGAGCATGAAGAGATTAACAATACTTCTTTATCTTTTGAGTTATTTTATTGGATTGATCGTTAAAGATCTTTGGTCTTTGTTTGGATCCAATAAGAAAAATGAGATTACTTCTTATGAACACGTTGAGAATGATTTTGATCTAGTTCATAGTGACCATGCTATCATTGCAAAAATTGGCAAATCCAAGGGGGAAGGATAATCCAACTGTGGGGATAATAGCAAATGGAGTGAGTGATGTATATTAATGAAGTGTCATTTTTTTTTAAACAGAAAATTGAATCATATAAATGGGTATTAAATTCGATAGAAGTTCTCACTAGCTAACTAATTTAAAAATATATGCAATAATCCAATTCATTTTTAGTTATTAATAAAAAAATTAAGATAGTTTATTGTCCTATTCAAAACGTAAAGTTCTTTAATTTTTTAAAATGTAAAACTTGGTTGAGTAATTTTGTAAAGATAAAAACCCTAACTCCAGTAACATCAGTTACATAATATCATAGTTTGAGATTTTTATTTCCAAACATTTGATATTTCAACTCTGACTAATCGAATTCGTGCGTATTAATAATGAAACGAGGTCGTCGATGCAAATTGTTTGTTTGTGAAGAAATCATAATCAACATACTGAATCGTTTGCCTTTAAAATCGCTAGCAAAGTTTAAATGCATATCGAAGAATTGGCGAAAGTATATTGCTGAAATTTACAGGCGTCGTTTCCAGTGGCCTGAACCCTATCTACTCGGTTTCTTTTGCTTAGAGAAACGTTCCCAAAGTTGTTTCTTCTATTCATCAAAGGAATCACCACTTGTAATCGGTTCTAGTTTGGATGAATCAGTCAATTTTATTGGTGAGAAAGTGTATATTGTTGCTTCTTCCAATGGTTTTCTACTATGCAATAAGCTTAGAAGTAGGCAGAGGGTTTATTATGTTTATAATCCTGCCACAAGGCAGCGTTTGGATGTCCCTAAAACTCCAATCTCTATGGATGATCCATACATCGGATTTACTTGTAAGGTAGATGAGGATCATGGCATTGTCTCGTTTACTATAGTTCGTTATGTAATTAGCGAACATTATCAGTCTAGTATAACAATTGAAAGTTTCTCTTCAGAGATTAATGTGTGGACTGATTATAAGCTAATTGTTGATGTACCTCATGCATTGTATCCTTCTTTGGATGGGACTTCGTTATCATCTGCTGGTGTAGTTGATGGAATCTTCTTTTGGCTTAATTATACATTGATCACCATTTATGATAGTGTAAACAAGTGTTTTTGGGCTTTGGAATTACCTGAAAACTTGTTTTTCTATTATCCCCGTAGTTGTTGTCTTGGATTATCAGGCGGGGAGCTCTGTTTTGCATCGAATCGTTGGACAACAACCATCACTTGTTGGCGACTCAACAATTTTCCTAGTCGAGATAATGCTAAATGGGTTATAAAGTATGTTATAAATGTTGCTACTGTAATTAAAAAATATCCCAAGTATTTTGGAGTTGGAGACGGTATTGCTAAGGTTCAGAACATGGTTTTTCATCCTGCTCTTCCACACATCTTGTATTTGCAAATAAAAGGCAAGGTTATTTCTTATGACGTGAAAACTCGTAAGACAGAACTTGTGTATGATTTTGGAGTAGCTTGGCGGAAGACAAAATGCTACAAATTGTTTTCCTATGAGTGGCCTCAATGGCCGCGTCTTCTGTAGCCAGGTATTACTAACATCTACTTATTTAGTATTCGATCTACTTTGAAGTTAAATATATATATAGTTGCTTAGTGTTAGTGACTAGAGCCTAAAAGCTAATGTATTGTGGTGGGCAGCCTTCAAGTTAGTTCAAATGCTATAGAAGTTATCATGACTTAAGTAAACTCCTTACCATTAACCTAATATATTAGGCTAATAAAATAAAAGGTTAATGAGTGCAGCCTATCATCCTCAAACAAATGGACAATCTGAGGCTCTTAACAAATGGATATTTGCGTTGTTACGTCGCTGAGGTGCTTTCCCAGTGGGTTGATATGCTTCCATGGGCGGAATTTTGGTGCAATACTTCGTTTCAAACTTCAGACGGTATGACTCCTTTCCAGTCTCTCTATGGCCGTGAACCTACTACTGTTGCTCGGTACATTTTCGGGAGTACTGCAAATGAACTGGTTGAGTCCTATCTGCTGCAGCACAATGAAGTCTTGCACATCCTCAAACACAATTTATTGAAGGATCAGAACTGCATGAAGCGGTTGGCTGATAAGTCTAGGACTGACACCTTCCTTGAAGTGGGTGATTGGGTGTATGTCAAACTTAAACCATTCAGACAGAATACTCTATGCTTGCAGCGAGATCATAAACTTGGGAGGCGTTATTTTGGGCCCTATCAGGTGTTAAAAAGCATTGGCCCCGTCACTTATCGCTTGGAACTTCCTGAATCTGCAAAAATCCGTTCTATTTTCCATATTTCTATGTTGAAGCGTTGTGTTGGCACTTCGGATCAACATGTGACACCTATGCATCTGAGTGTTCCTACTACAGAGGATCTCATTGAGTCCAACCTTGAGGACAAGGTTGCTTTCCAGGGATGGAGTAAAGTTGTGAATGAGAATATCATTGACTAGGACGCCACTCAGGATGAGCACATGGGACTGCCATGTAGGACTTCTAGAAAGGTCATTCCTCCTAAGACTTGGGGATTACGTTTCGGAATGGGGAAGTTCACGTGAAGAAGGGTAAAATTGGCAAAACAGTAGGCACATGAGTGGAGCATTGCACAACACGCTATTTGATTGTTATGAGTGGACACTCTTTCTCTCTCAATTTCTTCTAAGTTCCTCACCTCCTACTTCGTCTTCTTCTATCATTAGCTATTTTACTTATGCATTTTACCTTATAATTTCTGATTCTAGAGACTTCAATACATCTACTACTTGTAAGTTGAGTTAAAGGTTATTAATACAAGTGCGGTTACTGTTTCATTGTGTCAATTTGTTGCACCAAGTGTCAAAATCTCCTTTCTGTTGAAGCTCAGATAATAATAGATTAGCAATACAATCTGAATAGTCTCTGATTTCAGCATAAGTAACATTCTATCTTGGGGAAGAAACATGTCACTGAGTCATGGTAAGTTATTTCCCACAGCTACCTCTTGCAGTCCTTCCCAAAGAGTGGTACTGTGATTACTAGTATTTTACCCTTTGACAATCTATTGATCCTTGCCTTTCTTTCACATGACATTGTGACAAATGAGCTTCCTCTCTTATGCATTCTACTTCATATAAGTTGGGGTCCCAGATGATCCAGATCCTACCATTGATAGCCTTGTGATAGTTACCTTCCATCTTCCAATTTGGAGCAATACTTTGTCATATACTTCTAGTATAAGTTCCTTGACTTTTGTTTCGACTAATCCAGCAAGTTTGAACTTAGATATATGTAGCTTTTTCGTAAACTTCTTTATAGACTTATAGTAGGGTGGGAATGACACTTGTTGTACAAAAACAATTTTGCTGATATGGAGCCACTATAAAGTGTTTATACTTCTAATACTAATGTTTGCTTTGAACTTAGATATATGTAGCTTTTTTGTGAACTTCTTTATAGACTTATAGTAGGGTGGGAATGACACTTGTTGTACAAAAACAGTTTTGCTGATATGGAGCCACTATAAAGTGTTTATGAAAGTGGCTTATTTTCGTATCTATTGGTTGAGTTGGCTTAAATTGCTGGTTTTCTATGGTTTGAGCTTATTGTGGAAATCTTTGATTGTAGCTGGTTTCAGATTTTGAATTGATTTGAATATTTGATGTTGTCTTTAGCGGCTAGTCCGTCTTATATAAAGGTTTTATTTTGTTTATCTGTGACTAAGTGTTACATAAAAATAAAATAAAAAAATGACTGGGAAATTGATGGAATGGTGGAGTTTTTGGGCTTGATTGGTGGATTCCCAGGTACTACTCTAGAGCCAGACAGATTAGCATGGAGACATCACAAAGAGTATTTTCTGTGAATAGATTACTGGGGACTTAAAAGAAGTGCAGGAAGATCCATTGGACCTTGGAACACAATATGGAAAAGTGTGGCTCCTGCCAAGGTGAAGTGCTTCACTTGGTTGGTTGCTAGGAAAAAATGTTTGACTCATGAGGCAATGCAAAAGAGGCGCATCAACATAGTATCTAGATGCCTCCTTTGTAAAGAAGCTCTGGAGACTAACAAACACTTATTCATGCACTGTAAGGTAACTGCTCAGGTGTGGGCTCTGTTTACAAGCATAGCCAATGAATATTGGACTATGCCTGAACACACCTCTGACCTTCTTAGTTGCTGGATCAAAAGGGGAGGCAACAAAAGTTAGAAAAGATGGTGGAGAACAGTTCCAACATGTATCTGGTGGATTATATGGAAAGAAAGTAATCAAAGAATTTTTGAAGGAAAGGAGTGTACAATACAAAAGATCAAATGGAAAGTAATTACTACTTTAGGTTTTTGGTGTAAAGAACAGGATATAGAAGGGGAGTTCCAATTAGTGGACTTCATAGGTTCTCTGTAAGTATTTCTTTTTAGTCTTTTCCCTTTCTTGTAACAGTTTTTTGGAGGTGGCCAGCATAGCCCTTAATGCTGAGTAATACAAAAAGTTACCAGTTTCAAAAAAAAAAAAAGTGTTACATAAAAGTCCGACGCTATCTCTTCTTTAAGTTCAGTCTTTGTTGGTGCTGAGTACACGTGTTCTTTTGTACTAACCTTTGCTTTCTACACCTCTGTTGTGCAGGTTCTGAGACCGGTTCTAGCAGTAGGTGATCCTCTCTTTTGAGTTGGCAATTTTTCGAAGTTCCTGGATGTAATTGCTTGGTTGTTCCACAACATCCGGACGTCTCTTATCTTATTTGTTTTCTGTCATTATCCTTTGGACAGTTGTATAAATTTCGGATTCTTACTCATGTTGCCATAGATGCTTTGCACTCATGTCACTGGATTTTTGGTGTTGTAACTGTATTCTTTTGAATTTCTGGGTTGATTTATGGAAGTATGTCTTTAAGGCTTTGTTTCTGCTACTTATCTACTTTTATCCCGTGTTTGCTTACCTATCACCATAGGCTATCAGTGGGTTAGAATAGGTGTGATCATGACCTTGTTTTTTAGGTTGTTAGAGTTCTGTTCATGTGATTATAATTTCTCATACTATACAATCGTGCGAATGACGCGATGGAATCATGTTCCCTGTAAAAATGTTGTTGCAAGGCTAGAATAATGATCTTCTCCTGAGTCAATCAGCATGACAAGTGCCAATTCCTCCCACGACTTTGTCAGCTTACCATAATAATGAACTATGGTCATACCCTTCTGCGTAGATCCGGCCAATTCAGCCTTCAATTGATGCATCTGGGGACAGTATTAACATTGAAGTGGAGGTGTTCCACTTTTTCATTTTCTAATTTAGGTGAAATTCAAATGGAGTCTTTAATAATCCCATCTATTTTTCTTTCTCAAAATCAATTGATTCTTTGTCCAATTGAAACATCTTCTCTACAATTTTACCCTTGAGTGAACATCAATCTCACTTCTCTTCGACTTGCCTAGAGCCAAGAGCTTCCCCTCTTTCTCCTAAGCGAGCGAGAATTAGTTGCTCCACTTTGTAGAGAGATATAGGTAGCTGATCTACTCCTTCCGTTGAATTCGAGGTCAATTTTACCTTTGGCGGAGGGGGAAAATTCAAATCCATAGACGCCTAAGCAGTCAGGTCATCTTGTTGATATTGATTGATTGACATCTTCATTCTTTTAGGGCTCATATCTTTGTTGGAATAGTAGTTCAACTTGCAGGTATTATTAGAATGAAATGTCAATGCAAATTGTTTGTTCTTGAGGAAATCATAATCAATATATTGAATCGTTTGCCTCTAAAATCTCTAGCAAAGTTTGAATGCATATCAAAGAACTGGCAAAAATACGTTGCTGAAATTTACCGTTGTCGTCTCCAGTGGCTTGAACCCTATCAAATCGATTTCTGTTGTGTAGAGAAACGTTTCCAAAGTCTTTTCTTCTTCTCGTCAAAGGAATCGTCACTTTTAATCGGTACTATTTTGGATAAATCAATCAATTTCATCGGCGAGAGAGTGTATATTGTTTCTTCATCCAATGGTTTTCTCCTCTGCAATAAGATTAGAGGGTTTATTATGTTTATAACCCTGCCACAAGGCAGCGTGTGGATCTCCCTAAAACTCGAATGGGTATGAAAGATCCATATGTTGGATTATTCACTCGAAACAAATCATGTTTGCAGGCAGCATGTCGAGTTTTGAAATGTGAACTTCGAATCTCTTCAATCAGCTCAAATCTTCCACCAAACAACTCAAATTTTATATATGAGCTCTTCTCTATATCTTGATTCTTTTGACATATGAAACTATTCATGTTTGCCCCATGTCAAATTTTAAAATTTGAGCTTCAAAGATTTTCCATGGACAATGAACAAAGGGTTGTTTTGTTTAATTTACTAAAAAATATTCCATTATATCAGTATATCAGGACATTGAACTCTTTTTTGCATCGAATGGTTGGACAACCATCACTGTTTGGTTACTCAGCAATTTTCCTAGTCAAGATGCAGTATGAGTTAGTAAGTATGCTATAGATGTTGCTACTGTAGTTCAGAAAGTACACAAGTTTTATATTGCTGCCTTTACACCAGTATCGAAGGCTGTTGGTCGATGACAACCTTGCTAGCGATTTCAAAGGCAGACGATTCAGTATATTGATTACGATTTCCTCACAAATAAACAATTTTCATTGACGACGTTTCATTCTAATGTTACTTGCAAGTTGCAACTACTATTCCAACAAATGAAAATAGTTGCAACTTTGAAGCTGAGGATTAGGGATCTAAGAATAGATGATAGCAACAATTTGTTTTAAATTTGGAGAAATTGGACTCTGAAAAGTTGGGACTGAGAGTACCTTTATATACCAACTTTCATAAATTCTAACATTAAATAAGTATAAATTGACTATATTACATATATATTGACTAGATTAATTACATAATCTACAAAGTTGATGAGAAATCCTTTGAATGACAGTTTTTCCACAAATGAGTAAATGAAATCTGATCCATCATACTTTTGTCTTTAAAAAAGTATGACTAGAATGATCTGTTCGGATTTCAGTTTTTCACTGATGCATATTGAATTGAAATTAGTTTGGTTCGATTCAGTATGGGCCTGATATAATGAAATTTGAGTAAATTAACAAAATGACCCTTCGTTCATTGTTATAACCAAAAATGGCCCAACTTTGGTTCAGTATGGGCCTGATATAACCGCATAGCCCCTTATTTTTCTCCTTGTTTGAGTTCATATCTAAAATTTGAATTGTTTAGAGGAAGATTTCGTAGGAAATCAACTCAACATATATATTTTTCCAAATAAAAGGGGTGCGGGATGGACAAAATAGAGGTTCACCTAACAATGAACAGGAAAAAATTAGAAACAATGTTGAAGAATACCAATCTATAGGTTTCAAATAAGCCATCACAACTAGAATTGTTGTATTTTGGCTTCTAAAGAAAGTAATTTCACTAACTATGAAATATAGTTATAGAGAACATGATTCCATCGCGCCAGCCACACAGATATACTGTTTGAGAAATCATAATCAACATGAAAAATGGCGCGAACAAGAAGACAGTTCCTATTTCTTCTGCATCTGTACTTATTCAAACAATCTGCCAACATGTTCGGTTCCCTGTAATAAAGCATTCCTGATTACAAGAACCTGCAATCACGAATGATATTAGCATAACATGAGTTGTCATCGACTGACATGTTAATGACTTCCTATGCATCTAGAAAATATGTCAAGGGGAGTGAAGTCATGGATGTGCGCGAGCCTGAATCCTTACAACGAGACCTCTAGTTCAACATTGATGTTGTTCGTAATTGGCAAGTGTTTGGATAGTCTCATCACAACAGAAACTAGTCCTTAAGAGACAAACAATTGAAAAGAATGTGGTAAACATGTAAGAGGAAGAGACATGTCATGATAAGGCCCGATATCAACGCAACTTCTTTTGTACAACAAGGTTCATGCCCTTCCTACTATAAGTCTAAAAGGAAGTTATCTATAGCTAAGTTCCAAGTAAATAAGCAAGAACACGGTTCGTAGGACCTTTTTGCTTCGTATCACCCCAGTAATAACATGTTGGAAACTATGGAAAGCCAGATGCTGAAAGAAGTATGGTAAGAATCTATCTCTACATGCAGAATATGCGAAAAAATCAGGCCAACCAAGGCAGAACAGGAGCTGGTGATGTAGTTAGGAACAAAAATGGACAAATGCTGATGGAATTACTCAGAGAAACAAGCTGCACCACATGGAATTATTTGGTGTTGTCAATAAAATTTCGAGAAACTCACGATTGAACTACATTCATTATTCGTGGTAAATATGATTCTGTGAAACTGCAGAAACTTCAAGAAACTATCTCACAAATTCAATCTCATAGCAAACAACAACAACATACTCAGTGAACTCCAGATACAAAGAAGTAGGAAAAAGTGAAGCGAATATAGTAAGTCACAAGGAAACAGTGCAAAGTCTACCAGAAGGGAGCAACAACAACAACAACAAAAACAAAATAGTGCGATAATTGAAACAAAATAAACAACATACAAGTACAATGGAAAACAGTGCAAACCCTGCATCACGAATGAAAAAATTTAAACAAGTATAAATAAGTAATACCTGTTGATGGTCTACTTGAGACGCGGCCATTGAGGCCATTCATAGGAAAACAGTTTGTAATGTTTTGTCTTCCGCCCAGCTTCTCCAAAATCATAGACAAGTTCTACAGTACTCGTTTTCACGTCATAAGAGATAACCTTGCCATTTATTTGCAAGAACAAAATGTCCGGAAAAACAGGATGAAAAACTATGTTCTGAACATTCCCTCCTCCAAGCCCAAAATTCTCTCCACATTTCTGAATTATAGTAACAACATCTACATTATACTTCCAAACCCATTCTGCATCTCGACTAGGAAAATTGTTGAGTCTCCAACAAGGGATGGTCCAACCTTTCGATGCAAAACAGAGTTCTCCACCTGATAAACCAAGAAAATGAAAACCTGGATAGATCATACACCCTGGTTGAGGATATGCCAAACCCCAAAAACACTTTTTTACACTATCATAAACAGTCATCCCTTGTCCAAAATTATCAATCCAACAGAATACTCCATCGATTACACAACACGACGATAAGTAATTCTCATCCCTACTAGGCTGCAATGGATAAAGTAAATCATGAATGGCATCAGTAGCAATCCACACATTAGTCTCCGAAGAATAACTTTCAATTGTTATACTAGACTGATAGCGTTTCCTAATTACATAACGAACTATAGTAAACGAGACAATGCCATGATCTTCATCTACTTTACAAGTAAATCCAACATAAGGATCATTCATACGAATTAGAGTTTTAGGGACATCCAAACGCTGCCTTGTGGCAGGATTATAAACATAATAAACCCTATGCCTACTTCTAAGCCTATTGCATAGTACAAAACCATTGGAAGAAGCAACAATATACACTCCCTCACCGATACCGATGAAATCGATTGATTTGTCCAAATTAGTACCAATTAATAGTGGCGATTCTTTCGATGTGAAGAAGAAACGACTTCGCAAACGTTTCTCTACGCAAAAGAAACCGATTAAGTAAGGTTCAGGAAAACCGAGACGACATCGATAAATTTCAGCAATGCACTTTTGCCAATTATAGGATATACATTTAAACCTAGCTAGCGATTTCAAAGGCAAACGATTCAGTATGTTGATTATGATTTCCTCATGAATAAACAAATTGCATTGACGAAGATGTTTCATTATAATATGTTTTTTATTGTAATGAAATTAATCGAGATGTGTGCAAACCCTAAAATAAGGTTTATGTGAAGGGATAAGTATTGTGTTTTATTTAGGTTTTGTGTTTGGGGCTAATTGGAATATTATGGGCCCTAATATTCCATAATCTTATTATAACTAATAATTGAATAGCATAAGGTAAATGAATAAATGAGAAACCTTTTGAGTTTTGAGTAAGGAATTAAATCTGGCCAGTCATATTTTTACCTTTAATAATGTACGATTAAATATGAGGAATATTTAATAAATCAATTAGTCGCTATGAAATATATATATTATATTTAAAAGCATTTTGTATTAATGTAATGTAATGCATGAACTATATAATATATGACTGGACATATATGTTAAAATAACTTAAATCTGCATTAGTTATTAGCTTATAAATTTTCCTCCCCAAATTCCACTCCTCTCCTTCAAAAATTGAACAGATCGATAAATTGAATCGAAAAAAAAATACTGTTGATTTATATTATTGGTTATTAGGTTAACGAGTTTTTAATGATTTCTTTTTAAAAAATATCGGGTTATCAGTTCGATTTTGATTTTTTAATATTAGGTTATTGATCGATAATCCATTAAGACGGTAGTAATTTACTATTTACTCTTACATAAATATTAAATATTAATCTCAGTACCTAACTGGTTACTGTCTTTGTCCTTTAGCTTTCCATTCACACTTTACGGCGACTTTGAGTTCATCATTTCACATTATACAAAATGTAAAAACCTAAAGTAAGAACCCTATTTCCTTAATTATTTCTCTTTGTGCTGCACTTGTATGTATAGTTCTTTTCATGTTAGTTATTATTGTTTCTATTTTATGAGTTTTCTGTAAAGTTACATTATTGTCTTGTCGCATCAAATTATTGGAGAAGACATATAATTATTTATAAGTATTTTCTTATTGGTTAAATTGAAACTGAACTGTTAAGGACCAAAACCAATGAAAAATATCTTATTGATTTGATTATTGGTTTAGCGTATTTAAAAACTAATAAACTGAACCGATAATTCATAAACTGAACCGATCAATGCACATCTCTACCTCACCCACCTTCGACTCCATACTAAAAATGTCAGCCATAAAGGGACATCACGAGTTCACGACTACCCTCCATAGATCACACTCGAAGAAAAAAAAAAGTGCAATATGATAAAATTTGTACTGGATTCTTGTGGTATAGGGGAAGATTAAAAGATTTGAATGAAATTGTTTTTGTGACAACAAGGCATGGCGTGGAAATTGAATCTTTATGTAATAAAGTTCAATTATTTTGGGAAATAAAAGCCTACATCCATCATGCTTGGACCCCATCGAATGTAATTTCAGTATATCATATGCTTTAAGTCCCATCACCCCAAATGTTCTTTGAGGCGAGGGAGTAATTTGTCTGGTCTTATCGTGCACTCATTTAATTATTTTTGTCACGGTACCATCATCACCCCACTAAAAACAAATATACACACATCGTAGTAGAATTACAAATATCACTATATCAAGACATATTTTTTCACTATATTAATATGGGAAGAATTATAATTTAATAGATGTTTTATATAATTTTTAATTATTTGAATTTTAATTGTATGATATTAAATTAATATAATTTAATTTTGCTCTAAAAATTAGTAAAATTACTTTTTAAAAATTAAAACGTGACTAATATTTTGAGATGGATTGTGGAATATGTAAATGTATCCTAGAAATTAGTAGTAGAGAAACAAATAAATGTAACAACATATTTATAAGTATAAAGGCATGTGGTTGAGCTTTCAAAATGAAAAAAACATAATCTTATTGTAGAGCATTTTCCTTTTCATAAGACCATTTCCAACTCACCTCTATTTTACTCTCCATTTTCTATATTTGGAGAGTAAAATAGAGAATGGACACTCCAACTCACCTCCATATCACTCTCTATTCTTCATATTTAGAGAGGTGAATAGTTTGGAGAACTACTATTCACATTCTCTATTTCACTTTTTGTATATTTTATTATTATTTCTATTACTTTCTAATTAACATATTATTTTACTTATAATGTCATTAATTCAATATATAATATTCATAATTCTTTTTAAATATAATATAGTATTTTTAAAAATATATTTATTTAATATATACTACTTTCATCCCAAATTTATACTATTTTAATTTTTTCTAATTTTCGTCAATAATATAATTTGATTTTATTATTAATTTTCACTATAAAGAATACACAAAATTAAATGATAAAGATGAAAATTTTAGTTTAAAAATATGATACATAATATGATAATTTAAATACAAGATAACAATACAATATATAACATAATAGTTTAAATACAAGATAAAATACAATACATAATCATTAATTCGCGATGAAACAAGAATCATGCTGAAAAGATGCTGAACGTGCATTTGGAGTTTTGCAATCACGTTTTGCGAGTTTTGCAAGACCGTCACGTTTTTGGAGAAAGAAAGCGCTACTTGATATAATGACTACATGTATTATACTGCACAACATGATAATTGAGGATAACGTGATCTTAATGCACCAATTCAAGATGCCATAGAGGCTCAACTCCAACAACATAAATGGTGGTAGATGAAAATCTCCGATTTGAATAATTTTTCGTTAGACATAAAAAAATTAAGGACAAAAATGCTCATTTTGAACTCCGTAATGCATTAATAGAACATTTATAGGAGCAACGTAATAATTTCGAAAATTGAGTGTTATGTAATGTTTATGTAATTGTATTTCACTTTTATTTAAATTTGTCCATTAATTTGTATATTATATAATATTTTCTACAATTTATATTATTTAAAAAATTAGAATAAAATATAATTTTATATTAAATAAAAAATTTGAAAAATAAAATTTTATATCACATGAAAATTATATAAAGTAATTATTGGGGAAAAAATAAAGGATTTATATTATGAAATAAGAAAATAATATAATATTGAGGAGAGAGAAAAATATTTTTTTAGAGAGTAAAATAGAGAATTGGGTTGGAGTTGATTGTCTGAAAAAATAGAGAACTCTATATTTAGAGAGTAAAATAGAGTGTAGGGTTGGAGATGCCCCTTATCGCTTACGTATAATTATTTAAACTTCAAAAAAAAAATACTTATTGAACATCGTAAAAAAAAAGTGAAATATATACTCAGTTATTTTATTAAGGGTAATTTAGTGAAAATAACTGGTATTTTCAAGAGGAGAGTGAATTTTGTAAGGGCCAAGGGGTATCCTCGGGATAAAAATTCCATAAAATACTAATTATTAACTTAAGATCATTATAAGAATCTACAAATTTTAAATTTAAATTTACCTATTTTAAAATTCACATCTACACTAGCATAACGAATGCAACGATATAAATATAAAAAATAAAGGACAAATTACTTAACTACACTTTTTTACTTACCTTAATATTCATTTATCCCTACTTATTTCAAAAATTTCAAAAATCCCTTATTTACCTATGTATCTTGTGCACAACGCTATGTATCCCGTTATGTGGAATGTATCAAACGCTATGTATCCCGTGCACAACGCTATGTATCCTGCATGTATCCCGTGCACAACACTATGTATCCCGCTATGTGGAATGTATCAAACATAATGTATCCCGTGCACAACGCTATGTATCCCGCTATGTGGAATGTATCAAACCTAATGTATCTCGTGCACAACGCTATGTATCCCGCAAACATCATTTTAAAGAGATTTTTGGTAAATAGAAAACTAGAAGGGATAGGATGCTATTTAGTACTTATAATATGTTATTCCTATAATTTATACAAAAATAAATCATTAAATTTAAATCTTAATTCACTCTTCAGAAATTGGAGATTGTATTGGAGTCTGTTTAACCAGATTTTACCTGCAGAATAGATTGGGAACTATCGCAGAGCTCAGGGTCCACAATGCGAGTTCAAGCCATAAAGACGACGCTTCTATTAAAAGTAGAAAAATCTTAATCATTCCACCACAATAAGTACGTAACTATTCCCGTTTTGTGCCCACTACTTTTAAGTAAAGAAAATGAAAGGTCCTTTATATCTGCTTTTAATGCTTTACCTTCCTCTCTGTCTTTTCTCCTCCTTTTAATTTTTCGTTCCTACTCTATCAAAAGAATCCAAATCGAAGGAAAAAAAATTCCATCTTCTCTTTCAAGAAAAAAAAGATGTCATCATCCAATTTAAATCATCAAGCAAACAATGGACTCCCAATTTGTCTTGCAGGGATCACACGTCCTCTTCCTCTCTCCAAAGAGTAATTTTTCTTGTCTTACTGAGTCGGATTCAAAGATTTAAATGTTAAATGTACCTTTTTTGTGAATATTTAGTGTAGTTTTTTTTGTTAAATGTATAGGTTTTGTGAATATTTAGTTGTTTGTCTATATATAATTCTAGCTCCTATGGTGAAATGTTATTATAGAAACTATAATATAACATGAAATAAAAAATTGTTCCAAAAAAACTTGACATATATACTGAAATGTTATTATAAATTATGGTTTAGGGAGATCTAATTGCATTTTTATATGTCTAGACTCTAGATAGTTTATTTGAACCGAAATCTATCATTTCAGTTGAAGAGAGAAATTTAAGATTTAAACTTGATGAGTTCAATTATTAAAGTTTTCAGCATTTTAATTATTGTATTTTTGGAATTATGATTTTATAACACGATATTTATTAAACATTTAGTAATTTTTTTGAACATCCATAGAACTTTCCCTAGATTCGCGTCGATCATTTTCTTCTGTTCAAATTGTAGGATGACGGATCACACTGGAAGAAGGGAGTCTATGAAAAAGCTAAGAGTTCAAATGGGAGGAAAATGGAAAACAGATCAAGTGAGAAGCCATGAAAGAGACTTCAGAGAGAAAATAAATGAAAGTGATTCAGATCTTATTGTTGCTCTTCTTTGTGATCTTTGTTTGTCTTGTACAGCAAAGGCTGCTTGATTCTAACTTAGATAAAAAAGTATTTAATTTGGTTTTCTTTTAGTTTTTGTTTATGTACTTTTGGGAATTTTGTGATATATTTGGCTTAGATTTGTGTAAGAACCTCCTAATGAGCTCTGGTGTTTGTCATTCGATCAAATTTAGATTCGCGCATTACAATTTTCATATTTGTGGGCAACACTTCCAAAAAGATGGAGGTATCTATCTCAACCATTCCACCACAACTCATGTTGATAAGAGTTTTGCAATTACTCATCTCGCCATCTATTATTGGATCTACACTCTCTCCGTCCCATATTAGTAGTTATTTTAGCTCAAAAAAATTGTCCCAAAATTACTGTTACTTTAGAAATACAAAATTAAAAGTTATTTTCTTAATATTGCTCAATTCTCCAAAAAGAAAAAACACTTAAGAATTATACCTTGTATTCATTATTTTCTTGATGGATGTAAAAAGAATTAAAATGACAATTAAAATGAGACCACAAGAGTAGTATTTTGATAGTCTTAGAATAGCTAAAGCTTGTTGGGATATAGAACACAAGACAAGCAAAATGTGGATTAAATTGATACACGCTTTCTGTATAAATAACCAAACAGTTTGAGCATGTAAAAATCCCACCAAGAAACAATTTCTCAATTTGTCATGTAAATTGAATTGTCAAAGTATATTGAACTAGGGAGATAGGTTCTGGAATTATAAATTAATACTATTTTGTTAGTTCCATAAACAAGAGAAACATTTAAGAAGTTCAATTAAAGACAATTCTAACTAAAGACTTCACTCTTTTTACAAGTATGTCCATATTTTGAAACTGTAATTAGTCTTGAGGGTTGATCTACTCAATAACCTCAGCACACTAACAAAACTATAGGTATATATTTATTTAAGATAAAAGGCTAACCCATGAAGCGACATTAGATCAGATCCCATGACAATTGTTTTACATAGGGAAAGACTGGTATCGAACAATACCAAGTCTAAACATATGAGACGGGCAGAAGGTAACAGTTTCCTTATCTTCTTTGTTCAAAAAATGCAAAAACAATCCAAGCAACACTTTTCAGCCTCAAATGTTTCAAATAAAAAAAACTGTAAAATAAGGACTGGCGACCCACAAGAGACACTAAGAACGCAAGGTAACATTCAGTAATGTCAAATCTCAAATGGCAGAAAGAACTCCAAAATCAATATGAACCAGATCGGTTGGTTAGATTCTACAGGAAAAAACAAATGACTAAGTCATAACTAGGAGCAATGATAACAACAGAACAATAAAGGAAATGCGGAAGTGAAAGCAGGAGAAAAGATATCTTAAAAGCATAACATATTAAAACCGTTTCAGCAGCTCATCTTGGAATTCGCTATAAAAAAAAACCAGACAGGAGAAAGACATCCAAAGGTGCTATTGCCACTGCCCATCAAGCAACTTGGATCAAACCAAATTGCTCAACAACTCCCCTATCCTCAAACGAGGCTAGAGAACCATGACAAAAGCTTCTGGAGCCGTGTCTATGACTGGTAAAATGTTCATAACAAAATTGAAAATAGCTAATGCAATTAAACAAAACTAGTTCATCAATGCAGAATCTCATCAAAAACACATCACTTCTTCTTTTGGGCAGCCTTGGTGACTTTGGCACCAGTAGGGTCTTTCTTGTCGACGTTCTTGACGACACCAACAGCAACAGTTTGACGCATGTCCCTCACAGCAAAACGTCCCAATGGTGGGTACTCAGCAAAGGTCTCAACAACCATGGGCTTGGTGGGAATCATCTTAACCATACCGGCATCACCATTCTTCAAAAACTTGGGCTCCTTCTCAAGTTCCTTACCAGAACGTCTGTCAATCTTGGTCAAGATCTCAGCGAACTTGACAGCAATGTGGGAGGTGTGGCAGTCGAGCACTGGGGCATATCCGTTTCCAATCTGACCAGGGTGGTTCATGATGATAACTTGGGCAGTGAAGCTTGCAGCACCCTTTGCTGGGTCATCTTTGGAGTTAGAGGCAACGAAACCTCTCTTAAGATCCTTAACTGCAACGTTCTTAACGTTGAACCCAACATTGTCACCAGGAAGTGCCTCCAGAAGAGCCTCGTGGTGCATCTCAACAGATTTAACCTCAGTGGTCAGACCAGTTGGACCAAAAGTGACAACCATACCAGGCTTAATGACACCAGTTTCAACACGACCGACGGGCACAGTTCCAATACCACCAATCTTGTAGACATCCTGAAGTGGAAGACGGAGGGGCTTGTCTGAGGGCCTCTTGGGCTCGTTAATCTGGTCAAGAGCATCAAGTAGGGTTGGGCCCTTGTACCAGTCAAGGTTGGTTGATCGCTCAATCATGTTGTCTCCTTCAAAACCAGAGATGGGGACAAAGGGGATTTTGTCAGGGTTGTATCCTACCTTCTTGAGGTAGGAAGAAACTTCCTTCACAATTTCTTCATACCTAGCCTTGGAGTACTTAGGAGTGGTAGCATCCATCTGCAGAAGGCATACAACAGAATTAGTAAAACTTGAAACATCACTTTTCAATCAACATATCAAATTAAAAATAAAACAGACCTTGTTACAGCAGCAAATCATTTGCTTGACACCAAGGGTGAAAGCAAGCAATGCGTGCTCACGGGTCTGTCCATCCTTGGAAATACCAGCTTCAAAACCACCAGTTGTGGAGTCAATGATGAGGACAGCACAGTCAGCCTGAGAGGTACCAGTAATCATGTTCTTGATGAAATCCCTGTGTCCAGGGGCATCAATCACAGTGCAGTAGTACTTTGTGGTCTCAAACTTCCACAAGGCAATATCAATAGTAATACCACGTTCACGCTCAGCCTTAAGCTTGTCAAGCACCCACGCATACTTGAAGGACCTCTTGTTCATCTCAGCTGCTTCTTTCTCAAACCTCTCGATGACACGCTTGTCAATGCCACCAAGCTTGTAGATCAAGTGACCAGTAGTGGTCGACTTTCCAGAGTCGACATGTCCAATGACAACAATGCTGATATGAATCTTCTCTTTACCCATGATGTCTAAAAAACTGAACAAGGCACCACAGTCATGATATGAAACACATGGGTTATTCAATTCAAGAGTCAGATTAAGATTAACAGATGTACTATTCAATGCAAACTAAAGAAATTGACAATCTTGTTACTCTAATTGCATTCATTCAAATGAAAGATTCTAAGAACCAGTCATTATTAATAAGAAATTGCCTACTTTGTTAAGCAAATTTCTTACACTCAAGAAAGATTCTCTAAAACATTGTCATTATTAATTAATAGATCCACTATTCAACCGCTATTGACCTACTTAATCAAGTACAACTTTTTTTTAAAAAGTCAACAGATCTGAAATACATGGCATAGATAAATCAAAATTCTAACAAGTAAAAATCATCAAACTCATACTACAAACAAAACAAGGTTTCTACTCTAAAATAAGATTAAAAAAAGCTGTAGATTGAATCCACGCTCATCTACACAATACAAGACACAAATCATGGAGATCCAGTCTCAGAATGAAAGCAACATAACTTATAAAGCAAATAAAGAGTAAAATTAAACTGAGAAACTCATAAATATTCAGATCATACATCTTCAACAAAAAAAAAAACTCATGTGCCTTAACTTAAATCTAAAAATTCCATATATATATATATATTCAAATCACACATCTTTATAACATAAGATAGACAAATCTCAGAGAAACACCAACGATTATGACATTACTTGACCTTAAAATTCCATGAATATACAAATCACATATCTTCCAACATAACAAACACAAATCTCAGAAAAATACAGACGATATAGCCATAACTTAAAACAGAAAATCACATGAATATTCAAATCTCATATAATCAACATGATGAACAAATCTAAGAGAAATACAAAGTAATTTTCATATATTACTAACAAAACACAAATCGATTACCAGATTTTCTCATCAACATCATACAATCTGAAACAAAATTCAATCTCATATCATCGACATACAATAAACAAATCTAATAGAAATACATACTAATTATCACATATCACTAACAAAACACAAATCTATAACCAGATTTTCGCACCAATAACATACAATCTGAAACAAAATTCAACAAAATGAAGAGAAATGCAATAGATCTAACCTTTCACAAACGGAAAAATGAGAGAAAGAGCTTCGCTAAAACCCTGGCCGCGTATGGAGAATAACAACGCAAACCACAAGTGGGTTTCAAGTGAGGTATGAAAGGACTTTTTATAGTGGTGAGAGCACATCAGCTAGGGCTTTCTGTGTGGCACTCTGTATATGTATATTTACATAAATGTCCCTATTGTTTGTTTATAATTTCCATACGTAAGTGCTTGATACGTGGTATACTATAATAATTGTCCATTCATATTTGATTTGATATATTAATTATATTTAAAATTATTTTATTCGTACTAAAATAGTGGTGGAATGAATACTATCTTAATCAGAAGGTGGGATGATTACTAGTATCTTTTTTATTTTTTATATAGAAAGTGGTATATAATTGTAGTCATTTAAAATTTATTAAATATAAATTTATAAGATGATTCGGATTATATTAAATTTATGAATATATTAATTCAAATAAATATTATAGATTCATATAATTGAGTTAATTATTTAAATCTAATAAATATAGATTTAATTAAAGTCCGCTCCATAAACTTCATATGTCATGTCACTTAAATCTGATTGGCTGAAAGGAGTCCAATCACAACTCATCTATTTTAAAACTATAAATAGGGGTTCTCATAATTCAGAAAAGAGAATGAAGAATTCTAAACAAAAAGCTAGAGAAAACTCGTTGATCAAAAGCAACAAATTTCTCCACAAGCTACACGTTTAAGAATTCAAGAACTCGAGAGTTCAAGAATTCAAGTGTTAAAGTTTAAGAATTGAAGATTTGAAGAAGTCAAGATCAAGGTAAAGTTGAAGTTCAAGAACGATCAAGATCAAGACTGTCGGATTCAAGATCAAGCTCGAAGCCCTTGGATTCAACTAGAAGTCAAGATCAAGATCAAGATAAAGTTCAAGCTCAAAAACGATCAAGATCAAGACCGTCGGATTCAAGATCAAGATC